GCAGGACCTGGTGTTTGCGACAGACTGACGGGAACCAGGAATCAGGCTTTGGTGTTTGAAACTTAATTAATGGACACTTGCAAGCTAGAACCAGGATATGTTGCTTGTGGGAGAGCCAATGGGAACCAGTAACCAGCGTCTGGTGTTTGCGAGATAAAATGGCGGGAACAGGGCCTGGTTTCTGAGAAGAAAAAAGAGCAATGGATGTCAGGAACCAGTGGGAGTCGGGGGAAAAGGTCACGATGTCCGTAAAGCAGGCCAATGGAATCCAGGATCAAGTGATATGAGAGAACCAATCAGAGCCTGACCGGGGATCTCGCTTGCAGGAGCCAATGCAGCGCGTGTGGTGGAGCGTTCACCTGCGACCGTGTGGTAGCGTGTTCACCCGCGACCGTGTGGTAGAGCGTTCACCCGCGACCGCGTGGTAGAGTGCTCACCCGCGACCGTGTGGTAGAGCGTTCACCCGCGGCCGCGTGGTAGAGCGTTCACCCGCGGCCGCGTGGTAGAGCGTTCACCCGCGACCGTGTGGTAGAGTGTTCACCCACGACCGTCTGGTAGAGTGTTCACCCGCGGCCGCGTGGTAGACCGTTCACCCGCGACCTTGTGGTAGAGTGTTCACCCACGACCGTCTGGTAGAGTGTTCACCCACGACTGTGTGGTAGAGTGTTCACCCACGACCATCTGGTAGAGTGTTCACCCGCGACCGCGTGCCAAATCCCAGTTGAGGCTGGCTATAGTCTGGTGCTTTGTTAGCCCTCTACCACCTTCTGAAAACGCGATCCAGGGTCTGGCTCTGAAATGATCTGATGCTTTGCTGGCCCCTGCCCAGTGCTCCAACCAGTCATGGGAAATTCCAATATTAGGCCACCAAAGAGGCAGAACAAATCGTAAAGTGGATATGCAAATCGGCTGATAATCATCGTTCAACAGCCCTGCGACGACTGATGTCCTAGCCCCGCTGGCAGTGCTCACCGTCCTAGCTCGCCGCCGCCTGGCTGGCCGCGAAGGCGTCCTGCTGCGCCTGTAGCTGCGCCACCTGGAACGCCTGTAGACCGTTGTTCTCCTCGATGGCGATGGCCATGTAGGCGGCCGACATGATGGCGACGACGCCGAGCGTGAGCAGCAGTGGGTTGCGGAGCGCCTGCGCCAGCGCCGTGCGTCGGTCCGGCGGCGGCCGGCCGGTGGTGGCGGTGGCGCTGGGAGCCGGCCGGGCGGTGGCCGGCGCCGTCGTGGTACGTTGCGGCGGCGGCGTCGTCGTGGGCCGGCCGTTGCCGTTGCCCATGTGGTGTTGCTGACCGACGGGCCGGCTGTGCACGATGGCCGCGCCCGGCTGGTGGCCGGCACCCATCTGGCCGGGCTGCGCAGGCGCCGGGGCCGCTGCCGGGCGCGGCGTCGCGCCGCCGCCCAGGGAGACGCCCGTGTAACAGGAGCCGCCGGCGTTGCTGCACGACGAAATCACGTTGTTGGCGGGCCGGTTGTGCGTCATTAGCGGGCGGATCGGCCCGGGCCCGCCGGCTGCCGGCGACAGCGCGCCGGCTCCGACGCTCGGGACGCGGTCGTCGGGGATGACTCCGCCGCTCACAGGCACCAAGGGCCCGGGCTGCGCGTGTGGCCGCTGCACATGAGGGTGGTGCACGCCGAAGTCTGCCGCCACCAGGGGCGCCGTCAGCCCGTTGTGGGGCGCGGCGCCGGCCGGCCGGGCGAAGTTCGACGCCGGGGTCCCGCCTGCTGCTACGGCGACGTCAGGCACGGTCGGAGCGGTGGCGAGCGGCTGACCGGGCCGGGTGACGCCCAGGCTGGCCGACTCCTGCGGGCTCAGCTGGTTGAACTGCGCTGCCTGACTGAAGTAGTCCACCGCGGAGAGGTCGGGCTGGAACGGCTGGCTGGGCCCAGCCGGCGCCGCCGTCCCGCCGCTCGCCGCTGGCTCTGGCGACGCTGGGGGCGCCCCTCCTCCCGCGACAGGGAGCGGACTCGCCCCAACCGCCGGGGCGCGCCGCTCCACACTGGGAAGCTCGGTCTGGTCGGTTTGATCGGCAGCGTCGCGCTCTCCCACCGGAGACGGCTGACTGGTGGGAGCCGGCCCTCCTGAGCCGGGGCCAGGACGGTGAGCGAGCGACGACGGCGCGGCCGGCGCGGCTCCAGACTGCGCGGCTTCCGCCAGGTGCTGCAGGTGGGCCGTCACCATGGTCTGCATCTGCAGGTACTGCGGCAGCGGCACGCCCACCACCACCGTCTGCCGGCCGGCCGGCGACCCTGCCTGACGCACGAGTGGCGCCGGTCGCACGCGCGTCCGCAGCACCTGCACTAGAGCGCTGCTGCCGCCGGTGGGCGCGGGCTGGCCGGCCGCCACCGAGCAGAGCGCCAGCAGCAGCAGCGCCGGCGCCAGCCGACCCATCGCCGCCGCCGGCTGCGCCCTCACCGCCGGCCTCCAGCCGTCATGCGGCGGTCTCCCGCGGTGAGGAGCTCGCCGTGCAGCAGACGCCGACTGCCTGCTGGCGGGGAGACGAGCGCGAGACTGCGGCGGCGCCGCGGCCGGCCCGCCCGAGCCTGGTGCCGGCAGCGCCGCGCCACACTGGGAGGAGAGCGCGGCGACTGCCCGCCAGCGCACACGGGGCGGCACCGTTACCCTGCTCGTCACCGTTAGCGGTGTGACGACCGGGTCAGGAGGGCGCCGCTGCGATGGCGCTCGTCATCCGTGACGGTCTGCACGAGCCGGGACGCTGCAGTGGTGTCGAGTGTGCAGCGCGTGCAGGCCGGTCCAGCCGCCGTGCAGGTCTCAGTTGCTGCGGTGAGCATCGGCGCTGTCGGCGGGTGCGGTCCTCCTGAGGTCAGTGGTGTGAGGCCATACGTGTGGTAAGCACCGAAACTCGGATGCATGGTGAGACGGAAGTATAGACAGATCAAAATGACGGGCATGGCCTTTTCCTGGCGTTCTCAAGAACGCCAGAAGTCATTACCAGGGCGAAAGTGGCTGCAGACAGCGTGCAACTTCTGACGAATGGGAACGACCACCCAGGAATTTTGTGTCCGCACCGGGTACTTTCGTCAAATGAGTGATTCGTGTAATTTTACGCAAATGATTGAAATTGGACTCGGATTCGGACTCATGCCCTGTGTCAAAGATGAACTCTGGGTTCAAAATCGGTAGCAAAACTCGGAGATGGCTCGGACTCAGATTTTTGGACTTGACTTCGCGTCTGGGAAAATTCGCGCGATTGGTTGCTGAGAGTTGACGTCTAACTGTGAGCTAAGTTTTACCAAATTTAAAAGGTTCTCCAATTCCTACTGCATATGAATATTGATCTCTGATCAGCTTAGTGTTGGCAACACTGTGTTCGTGGATGTTTGTGATCGTGATTGGCATTTGATTGACTTTGGTGATTCTGGTTGAGCACTCTTCCCACGGCCGTTACATCGTTCGACGGAACTTATATTCCTCAACAAACTGGCTGTAATTTCCAGTAACGTTGCGCAAAACAAGACAGATGTGTGCAACACCTCCACACGAATCGCCAAACGCCCATATGTTTGGGTTTGGATATATCTGGATCGGGTTCGATGTATGTTGTCTTCGCAGGAGCCGGCTCCGCCGCTCTGACCATGTCCCTGATGGGCATGGCAGGGGAGACGATGGGACTGGATATGGGAGACAACGATGACAACTTCAGAGCCGGTGAGAGAAAACGCCGTTCGCGTTCGCGTGTTCAACTGGACTCATCTTTAACGCATTTGATGCGTGTAAACGAATGCATTGACTGAAATAAACATTGTGCAGGTGCAGGAGTGCTGAAATTGGCCCACGGACAGGAGAGTAGACGCATTTTCAACCTCTGCGACCCAGTTTTGTCGTGCGAGATCATAGCATTGACGCGAAAAATCCAGATGGAACGGCTATGCCGTGCCATCTTCACAGCCCTGGCGACGTGGGGTGAGCATCAATCAACGCATCAAAAAAGTGTGTGAATGGGCATCAATACATGAAAAATGAATGGCAGGTCTGTAGGCTGACGCTGGTGCATCTCCAAGCCGCCAGGTGTGACATGTCCACCCCCTTCGCCGGCAGGGGTGAGGTTGTTTTTTCTAACGTGTCTGTCGCCCTTCGACAGGCATGTGGCTGCTGGCGCTGGTGATGACGCTGGGCGCGGCGTTCCCGGCGCTGGTGAGCGGCGTCGGTCTGGGCTTTCGTCGGCGCCGGGACCTCGCCGAGCTGCCCCGGCACCGGCTGCTGCAGCGGCTCGTCATGCTGGAGCGGGCTGCGAGGGAGCGACGCCCCAGTGCCTGACGCCGGAACGAGGCTTGGGGGAAGGGGGGCTGATGATGCCATGACAAGCCATGTGAGAAGTGGTGGGCGACCTCTCGCTGCTCACTGCTAGAGCACAGCACGAGAGTGCCGGGCAAACGCCTGATGGATGCACCACAGCTACAGTCAGTGGTCGAACAAACTTCCGACACCACGACGGGCCACGAGCTGGGTGGTAATTAGGGGGTGCTCCACCGAACTAGGCGCACAGGCGTACGATCACTTCATTAGGGGCGTCCGAACAGGCAGCCTGTGAACGGTGACGCCCGACCCCCTGCTGCAGAGACTCGGTAGGTGGGGGCGAGACAGCCGTGGCATGGTAGGCAAAGGGACGAAGTATAGTACGCAGAGGGGGAAGGGACGGACTTCAGAGGGCCCGCGGGTGTCAGGGAAAGGTGCAGGCCTGGGAGGGGGGGGGAAGCATCAGGTGAGGGGGCATCAGACGCCCCCCGTCAGGGGGGGGGGGCATCAAAGGAAGGTGCGGGCGTCAGAGGGGGGAGGGGGCGGGGCAACGATGCGGCTGCGGTGCGCACGAGTCACCAGCCCCTGCCGGCCAGCTTCACAGGGTGAGGAGGTGCCATCCGACCACAGCGTCCCCCACCGCCCCGTACAGCAGATGCTGAGCGTCGATGACGGTACTGACGAGCACTTCCTTTCTGTCTCGGCATGTGCAGCAAGTATAGATCAATACAGTTGGCGTTGAACGGCGGTATATTTGCATTGGCAGGCGCACATCCGCAGGCACACGAACTGTACGATCGCACCAGCGTGAGAGTATTATGTGTTTGAAACGAGTCGAACGATATTCATTTGGCGTAAAATGTCGCTGTGGTCCATCAGTTAGCACCGACAATGTGACAGACGTGACTGTCTGTTACAAAGTCGTCACGCTTCTTATCACTTCCCGCGTCATATAGCGGCACATAAGCAACACAAAACAGGCTTAGCGTCGAATGCCTCATTATGGCTGGCGGTGCATGAAAGTGTCCTGAGTAGTATCGGTCGAGTTACTTTGCTCGAGAAAACCACAAACATAACGCGTACATGAGTGGGTTATGTGGAGGAAATTGGTGAATCGACATCACCAGCACTGGCATTCTTTCATGAGAAAACGAGAAAATCACAATGCCGACGTGAGCTTGTGTGGCTCTGGTGCGCCCTCTCTGCCGCCTTCCTCACCCGCCGTCGCACAGAAATCACAATGCAGGCGTTTTCCTCGACACGCAACCAGCTCGCCGCTCACGCCATTTCATGTCTAAACCACCCCATCGATATATGACCGCTAGAAACCCTAACGGGACCAGTGAACAAGCTCGAGTGCAAAAGCCTTGATCGTAAAACATCCACCATCCCTGACCCTCAGCGTTGCCGGCCGGTCCTGGTCTGCGTCGGACCTGAAAGCTCGCTTCCGCAGCGCGCGCGGACCTCAGCCCGGATGCGGACTGCGCCTACGACTTCGCCGGCCACGGCGCCCAGCTTACTCCTCCTTCAAGTCGGTGGAGAAGTCAGACTTGCTGTCGCGCAGCTGCATGGCGATGCGCGCGCCGAACAAGCGGAAGGCGAGGTTGACCAGCCGCGGCGTGTAGTGGTTCAGGTACTGGAACAGCAGCACGGGCTGCATGGCGATCCAGGCCTCGGCGAGCTGGGCGCCGATGGCGACGGCGCAGAGCTGGGCGCATCGTTCGGCCGACATGCGCCGGTCGGAGGGCGCCATCTCGCCGCCGAACACCTGGCCCGGCCGGTCCACGAACGCCGTGCGCAGCATGTCCGAGAAGGTGGGGCCCGGACACAGCAGGGTGACGACCAGTCCCGCCCCCGACAGCTCCGAGCGCAGTGCCCCGAAGTAGCCGTGCAGCGCGTGCTTGGAGCCCGTGTAGGAGCCCGAGCACGGCACCGGGCACGTGCCGGCCGTCGACGACATGACCACCACGTGGCCGCCGCGGCGCGCCAACAGCTCGGGCAGCGCGGCGCGCGTCAGCTCCACCGGTGCGAACACGTTCACGTCGAACAGCTGGCGGTCGACATCCGGATGCGTGATGGCCCAGCCGCTGCGCTGGGTGCGACCGGCGTTGTTGATCAGCACGTCAAGCCGGCCGAAGTGGGCCAGCAGGCGCGCCAGCGCCGGCCGGTGCTCGTCCAGCGCCGTCACGTCCAGCGGCAGCACCAGCACAGCGTCGGCCGGCGCGCCAGCCTCCAGACAGCGGCGCCGCACGCGCTCCAGCTCGGGCAGGCGGCGCGCCGAGAGCGCAAGCCGCGCGCCGTGGCGGGCCAGCTCGACGGCCAGAGCCTCGCCGATGCCGCTCGAGGCGCCCGTCAGCCAGACGACGCGGCCGGCCAGCGCCGCCGGCGAGCGGCCGAGCCGCGCCAGCACCCACAGCACCGGGTTACAGTCGGTGAACAGAAACAGGACGAGCAGGAGCACGCATGCGGCACCCAGCCACAGGAACAGCGCCATCTGCACAGGAAAACGACACGGTCATAACTGTTAACACAGCAGCATTGCATTATCACGTGTCACGACAACGGAAAAAGGTCGGGCAAAACTGAATGGGAGATGGTGCTCGCTAAGCAAGCGCGACAGCCCAGCAAAACATAGCATTGGCACAATTTATGTAGAAAATGTTTTCGGCATGCTGTCAACCCCATCACACAGCACAGAGCACATACCTCAGCAGAGTCGCACTTGATTTGCGCTACCGTGCACAGCTTCTTCAAATGCACCACACCGGTCACCAAAGTCGAGGCTGTGCACGCGCCCAAAATGCACCCGCGATCATGATAACGGCGCGAGCTTCCGCTAAATCCCCTATCAGTTTGTCACAACTGCGCCGTAATACGTTCAATCAAATAGGGGTGGGCAGCAGGCTGCTCTAGAGATGGTCAAGTCCTTATTTTCGGACCGCGAATGGCCGAGGAACTTTTTCCGAGTGTGATCACACGCACACATCTCGCGATACGGAGTGATGCGCGACCTCCACTTTTTCCATTGAAACCATCATCGGGCGCCTCCAGCGACCGAGCCATTAACTACCGTAACTTCACTAATGGCCTAAATAGCAACCCTCGGAAGATGGTGTCGTCTCCGGGTGATTTAAAGATATAGTAGGACGCCAAATGCAAATGAGCTGAGATGCCCAAATGACAGGAACCGGTTTTCTGCAGAAAGGAGCGTGAGAATGTTCTACCCAACACATTCTATACCACTTATGGAACGTCGCGACTTTCGTGTTGTTTGTTTTGCGATCGCTCCAGCACACATATGCACTCCCCTCGCTCTCACTTACTCACGTAAGTACACATGCACTCACTTACTCACGTAAGTACCTTGATGGTCCATGACAATACATGTTTATTACACGACGCACCAAGATACGCTCTCAAAGAACAACCATCTTGCTGCAGCTCGGGCCCTAACCGCGAAATCGCTGCACCACAGCAGCACTGTAATATTCTCGCGTGCCGCTGGGGCGATCCACGCAGCGACCAACAGCAGAAATCGTCCAGGGTGGCACAAGGACAGCCCGTCCATCGATTATCGCTCGTGATCATCCCGAGCCACGCAGGGAGAGTCCGTTCACTGATGACCAGTGGTGATCACGGGACCAGTCCGCCCCGCGATCGCTAATGGTCGTCCCGCGTGCTGCCGGGACAGTTCTCCTTGAGATCATCGCCGTCGTCGTAGGCGCAGCCGCACCAGATGCAGTAGAGGTGTGAGCGGCGCAGGTAGTCTGTCAACATCTCCAGCTGCTCGGACGGCGAGAAGGGGAGCGGCTCCTCCTCCTCCCCGTCCGCCTCCTCCTCGGCGTTTTCGTCGGCGAGAGGCGGTGGCCAGAACCAGGCATCGGCCGGTGCGTCCACGCCCTGCCGATGTCGCCACGGGTTAACAGTCGCCGCCCCACACACCCGGCTGCCGCCCACACGGAACACGGCACAGAGAACCGGCCAACGGCGGCAAACAAGCACCCTCAGTTAGCTCTGCAAAACATACTTTTCAAATTTTAAGGCAAGCAACGACCTTCTACATTTTGTGTCCATGCTACATAAGAAAACGCCAAAATTGCGTCACCAGATATATTTCTTTTTTGTTTTTTTTCTCCACTTCGTTTTGTTTCTGCATTAATTAATTAATCGATTTTAACTTCCGCATTAATTATGCATTAATGCAAGCCAGTTTTTCAGGTGTTCGTTATTCAGGATCCAACGCGCGCTGTACCCGCACCGGGCATGGCATCCCGATTTCAGAGTGCAGGCAACAGCACTGGCGGACCGGTGGGTCCGCAGCCAGCGACCGCACACCAGACCACGTACTATCTTGGTATCCAGCTGCTGGCAGACGCGCTGGCTCTTCATCAGGTCGGCCGTCACGTGACGGTCGGCCATCTTGTCGGCCAGCCGACGCCGGAACTCAGCGGCGGAGGTGGCGCGCTCGCGGCGCTCGGCGGCGCGCGCGCGGATCTCCTGCTTGCGCCGCTGCACGGCCTGGAGGGCGGCCTCGCGACCCAGGCCGCCACGGCCCTGCTTGACCTCGGGTCGAATCGGCTCCGTCCGGCCGTCGCCTGGAGGCGGCACGCTCGAGCTCCCGTTACCCGCCCGCAGGCCACGCGGAGGGGGGGGGGGGGGGGGCGGAGCATGAGGCGTGCTGCACACCGGCCCGTCACCCAGCTACACTGCGGCACGCACTGGTGACGGGCAGCTCTCCAATACTCTGGCCTGAGTAGCCAATCGCATTGCGGTTAGTCAAGTAGCAAAGTACCGGTTCTCACATTCACAGAATCATATCACAGCCCCATATAACTGTTATGTATAGCTTCATCCCAGACAATGGTTTGAAGGAAGGTAAGCTCGTACGGAAGCTCAAGTCTACCATGCAACCAATATTGAAATTTGCGCCCCTGTTTACGTCTCATGCAATTCCACCAGATGACACGTGATGAGATTTATCACTGACACCTCCATAACCTCAACTGCTTTTACAGAACTAAGACATACAGGAATCAAATTGAGACAAGCTTGTAGTAGAAGTGAACGATCCATTACCACTTTTTTCACAAACGCGCTGTTTACCTTGCTTGCCAATGGCCATGCCTGGCTTGTATCCCATTTTCTGAAGCAACGCAAAGCCCTTGTTGCTAGAGTCGATGGGCTGAAAACGTCGGGGCAACCATTGGGTTAACAACGATAAACAAACGCAAGATACAGTTGCTGTATGTCTGCATGGACGTTTACAGCTATTTGCGAAAATAATCACATATAAGCGCTTCCCATTTCGAATCATTACAGGTAATCACTGCAACAAAAACACTTGAACCAATACAGAACATTTGCACGGTTGACTGACTTATCATCCCGTGGTAATCGATTCGACGGCATAAGTGGCGCTCGGCCCACAAACTACCGGCGGACGAAATCGGTACGGAGTAGAGCTCGTAGCAGCGGGCTTTCACAACGTCGTGTGGTAGTGAAGGGCACGTCAAATGACGTCATCACAAGCGCATGCACATTATCTGGCGCGGTTGGCGACCTCAGGAGGTGGTGGAGAGCCAGCAGATCATGCTCGGCAACAAATCTAGTGCACTCCAAGCCTCCCGAGTGTTTACACGACGGGACAGATATGTTGTGGCCGCTTAATCCAAGTTCAGGCGCCGAAATTGGTTGTTCTTTAGAAGCGTGCTTTTGCGTCGTTACTGCCCCCCCCCCCCCCCCCCCCCATCAAGCCAGTATCTCAAGCGGGTATAAATAAACTGTTCAATGGCAATCCTTTCCCGTTCAAATGGCAGCTGAAGGCGAAATTCGCGGGGTGCTGGAATGCTATATGATCGCTTCACAATAGCAGATAACTGTTGTTCCCAATCGAGGTTGATATTCATACCACTCAGTCTTGGAGCCATCTTACTCCTGAATGTCCAGAAATTAAGGGATGTCGCAAAAAGGAGCACCGTGCATTTGGAGACAAATAGCCTCAGAGACTGAGAGTGAACTAATGGGCAGACAACAGGTATATGTATGTTCCTCCTGGTGGAATTAATAGGGGTAGATGTGACATCTACACAGTGACAACATATGTCAGGCTCTGAAAAATTTCCCTTCAGGCATCACTGTCTCCCTGAGCTGGTAGGTGCACGGTATATTCGCTTTACTATTGACTTTTACAACCTGAGGAAACAACAAAGAAGCAGGCAGTTGAAATGGTCAGTTTGTACTGAGTCCTTCACCTCAGATTTAGAAGAAAGTCCTCATCTCCTTAAACCACAATAAGCTGGTTTTAAAGGCTCCTCCACTCTTTTTCTGACACAGCTTCTGTTAAATGTATCCAGAACATAGAAATCCTTCTTAGCTATCTTAAAGCTACCTCTTCTGACTTTGGTTCAGTAAAGGGCTTGCATCCAGCAGTGATGCAGCAGCTGAACACAGTGCTGAGAGGGGGGGGGCGGTGCCCAGCTCTGACCTGATCCAGGGCGCGGTCGCGGTGCTCAGCCTCCAGCTGGTGGCGGGGCCGGTTCTGCACACGGTGCCGCTCAGCCTGCTCCTCGCGCTGCCGCTCCAGCCGGTGGCGCCGCTCGGTCTCCCGTCGAAACTGGAGGCCCGGCCGCACGTCCACTGACGTGCTGTGAGAACGACACTTGGACTGATGTTGTGCAATGGTAGCCCACTGGCAGCGACAGCCAGCCTGGGAAGGGTGCAATGATGGTTCATGCACAGTGACACTGTGCATCACTGGGATAAGACTGGGAATGTCAGGACAGATCAGGCCAGTGAAAGAATCAAAACAGGCAAGAGAGACAAGCAGACCAGTAAAATGTACTTTAAGGCTGTCAAAAATGTGCTAAATGACTAAAAAAAGACATCTACCCAAGATCAACAAAGCTTAAGTTCTGAAATTAGGTTTCCATGAATGATGACAAGGCTGATATTAACAGCATTAATACAACACGAGTATGATGCACAGCAAACAAAAGGGTTGGATCAGAGGTCACACTTCCACTTTTTAAAATATCACTAAACCACTGTTTTTTGTTACTCCAGATTACATTTTGAACAACAAAAATGCACTGAATGTAACAGATAATGTATTATTATTGTGGTATGATATGCACAACTGAATACAGAGAGCTAAGGTGTATAAAAAGATGGTATCTTCCTACCAGGTTTTCAGGAAATCTTCAGACATATAATCTGGTTCTTCATCACTCATTGTAACACTGAAGGATGCTCAATCTGAAATATTTGAGGCCTTCTTGTAATTAATATCTGAAAAGGTGCAAAACTTCAGAAATAATGCAAGGTATAGTTTGAGGAACTGGTAGGTTGTCATAATATTCCTGGTAATTGCTAATAATAAATAAGTTATATAGAATTCCTTGCACATTCCTAGTTAGTTAATGCCTGAACCCTGGACAAAGAAAGCAGATAGCATGAGGCTAATTAACTAACTGCAAAATGATGAAGCCATCCTAAAAATACCTAGCCATACACAAAACTGTACAAATGTACATGTCACACTCAGCAAGTCTCACATTATGGCAAAATCATAGCAACAGTTTTGGTGCCAACACATATCACACTGCACCTGAATTCTGCTCCCTCAAAACGTGAAGCAAAGTCTCTGCCAATTCCAGTTTGGAGAGCTATTAAGGAACATTCAATTTCAAAGAAAACTTCGGACAAAAATAGGCCTCAACAATTTTAAAACCACACGAACTTCAACGTTAGGGGAAGTTGTGCGGCCCTAATCTGGCATAAATGCGCATCAGGTAATGCACACTGATGTCATGTAGGCGCACAGCCCAGTTGATGGATTTTTACACATACTGCAATACCGGTGGAATGTGTTGAAATATACCTTATTCTTTCGAATTACATACACAATTGACGTGCTGAGGCCCACAACTCGGAAACAGTTTGGGTATGAAAATGAAACAGAAACGCCATAGTTGTAACTGTAAATAGGTGCGATATGGCCGCATGTAAAACGGCCTCGCGGAGAAAAACTGGTACCATATTTTGTGAGAATAATCGTATCAGCTGACTTCGTCATTGAAATTAGCGCTACAGAAATAGCGCAGTAGTGCCAATAGTGAATTAGTGTGAGGTCTGTAGTGAATTGCTTATTTCCGAGCGATAAATAAGGCTGCATGACCACGAGAACTTGTGGCATTGGTTAGTTTTAGTACCGGGTGATCTATGTCATTTAGGACCCTTCAGAATTGCTGAAATATTTTGCATATTCTGCTGCGATCTTTTGAAAGAAGCTTCAAGTTGAGTGCTGAGAAAGCTTCAGCCCAGGCTCAGGCATTTTTTTTGTCATCAGGACTTCCTGATTTTTCAGATTTTTTGTAGGCACAGTTGCCTCTTGTAGGAGACGCCAATTTCTTTCTGAGCTGCTTTGAAAAGTCTTAATCCGTTTTCTGGATATCAAATTACCTTTTGACAGTTCTGCTTTGCATTTCTGCCTTGTTTTACTCATGCTTGAATTTATGTATTATTGATATCCCATGATAATAATACCTGAAGTGGTCAGTCACTACAACAGATATGAAATAACCTGCATGATCTTGAATTATTTGGTGAAGCTCACATCATATGTGTAGATATTGACTCATTGTTGTAGTGTGAGGAGCATTTGAAGTCAAAGTTATGCCAGGACATTTCTTAAAAATCACACAGGGAAGTGTTGGTGAACTTTTTGTAGTATACCAAGCTCATTGTCAAGCATTCAGATCATAGGTATATCCCAGTTGTTCGGTTGGTTAGAACAATGACCAGCTGTTGTGGTATGGAGACTATTCTTAAGTCATGTTTATTGGCACACTGCATATATGGGCATCCTGCACCCACAGCCCACATATCAAGTCCAGCTTTCCAGATTGATATCTGGCTGCCAGATGTTGCAGAGTATCTTGATTGCCTTCAAATTTGGTGCATAAGACATCTTGACACCCTGGTTGTGGAGCTCAGAGGCATTGGGATGTGATTTTGTGTAATTTTCAAGTTGTGTAACAAGACATGTAACATGCCTGTTTGATCCTGTAGAATCTCTTGATTGCATCCATGTATTGTGTTTCAGATCCCCTGGGCAGGCTGACTCCCCAAAAATGGTCTTTGGGTGGGCTTTGCATAGTTTCTGAGTAACAACACATTTAACATGCCACATTGATATTGTGGGGCATCTGGGGCACTTCCAGGTTTGGTGTGAGGGGCTTCCTTAACATGCTGGCTCCAAAAACCAGTTGATTCAGTTTGGAGCTTTGCATATCTCCCAGGTTGGGGGTGATATGATGGGAACCATATGATATGATTACAAGTTATATGTGATAACTCGGGGTGCCCCAAAACCTACATCATCATCATCATCATCATCAGATGTTGCCCTGGATGATCATGAATCCTTCTAGACCTGTTAGGATTTATTCCACTCTTCTCTGGAGCAAGCCTTGAGGCATGTAGATACCAAACAGCAGTATGGTGTGCTGATATCTAATGAAGGGAGAGTTTGAGGTCATAAGCTTACCTGACTTCATTCAGCTCCATAGCCCAGTATATTGAGCAGGCATTAAGCTTAGTTAACAGCTTTGACCTGGCCAGGTGGTGGGTGGTCTCTGCAGTAGAGATGTGCCTGTGGTGGGACCTCTGGATGGGCTCGCTGAGTCGCGAGGATCAAGATTTATGCGCAGTTACCCATTATTTTCTTATGATCACCATGCTGGATACCCGGTCAGTCACCATTGTGATGGGCTTGATAACGTCTATATCTTTCATCTGGTCCAGATTCTTTTTGATACGTGCCCAGGTGGCCGGCTGGATATGCTTTGCTCGGGTGGGGAGGGGATCGATGTGCCCCCCCCCCCCCCTAAGATCTGAGGCTGAGCTCAACCACATCCGCCCCGCCCTTCCGCTATTTTGCTTCATCCTGCACCCCCGCGACATCCCGCTTGTCCGGGGCAGGCTGCATGCGTCAGCCACCAGGGGACCGAGAGCCCCGTGGTAAAGGTGGCCCAGATCGGGTACCCAGCGCATGGCGTGGGTTAAAGCTCAGTGGTTGGCCCTCCATGCGCATGCGAATCTGTCCCACCGGTTAACTATTTTCCTTCATCCCGTAGCCCTGAGATGGTCATTTCTGGTCGAAAGGACTCTAATAAAAAATATAGATTGATGGAAACTTGTGCTGTCTGCACAACTTTGGTTTAGAGCCAATTGGCGTCTGATGTATTTGGAAATCGTGCTCACGAGCGCCAGATATGAACGATTCGATGCTACTATTCTTACTGGCCTTGGAAGCCACATGGCCGATGAGGTCGCAGGATTTAAATGACTTTGCACGGCGTCATGCATGCCTGAATGACTTAGCAATAGTCTGCACATCTTGCGGACGTGTAGCTCAGAAACTAGAGGGTTTGGGGTCTAAACAAGAGCAGACCTGTGAACTGCGTCGGATGATCTTGAAAAGGGTGTTTCAGTTCAAAACTCTATACAAATGTGGAACACCCCGTTCAAAGCGAGCGAGTCTGAAATTTATCGGGGGGGGGGGGGGTCGAAATGGGTTGCAAACCGCGTTAGGAAGCCTCTGGGTTCTTCCGTTCAGCTTCTGCCATGCCCACGTGTGGTCCAGGTCGGTGCCGGGAGTTCCCAGCCACAAAAGCAAGACAGATGCTTTGACTTCATCAGGTTTGTTAGCTGGCGGTTCAGAGGCTTCATGTCCTACATCTTGAGTGAGCTTCCTGGATATCTCTTGCAGGCCTTTAGCATCCCAATAGAATGTAGGAAGATGTACACCAGCCATTTCCGCCATTGTTTTGGTGGGGATCGGGGCGTGATAGGTTTTTACTGTTGTCACCATGTGATAGCGTGCTGTTGAAATATCGAGACTATTCTTGAGTTATGTTTTTAGCACACGCCAAACGTAGGCGCCGTACAAGGACGCTTATTTCTCCCGATTGATTAGCGGCCACGAGCTGTCCACTTACAGCAAAGACCAGCATTGCTTAACGTCTGGCCTACCGAAGTTTCGTTACTTGCAGTTAGCTTCTTCGACTCGCAATTAATAGTCATCACACCGCAGGCTCAGTTTCCTTTAGGTGCCAACCATTCTCCCTGACTGGAACGCCCTGCGACCGGGAGTAGCGGCCGCGATCGCGTTGAAGCTCGGGTGATATCAGAGGGCAGGGCTGTGCCAGGCATTGCGGCATTTTAAGCTGTCGCCACACAGTTGTATCGTTGACCCCGGAGTTCGACGATCGGACGGAAGAGTCAGGACTCGCGCAACAGGTCCCGGTCAGCCTAGGCATTTATTTTAGAAATTAAAGAAAATCAGAAAGGTTCGAATTAAATGTTTTAAGAGATTTGCGCTGGGCCGTGCCCCACCCATCTTGTATTCGTTACGTGGAGTGGAAAAGCTGGTGAACTCGTTTAGGGCTAACTCTCCACGCCCTTGACTGCCTGGTCTACTTATGCCCTTCAAATGCATTCTGATCTCCTCCAGCACTGCGAGGACAAGCCTGAAGATGAGTTGGGCAAAGAAGGGTGTTTCTGGCTGCATCAGTTATTGGAACACTGGCTGGCGGGGCCGTGCTCTTAAGGTACGTGTTTTATGTTCGAAGCTATGCTGTGTGATGAGCTAATTTATGTCGGCGGCTGACGCTAGGTGTTGGAGCATATCAATTTTACCATCATTCGTTGAAAGTGCTTGTTTGACTGGCATGCACTTCGTTAGTGGATGTGAATGCTAACTACGCGATTTTCATGGTGAATATATTTGCCACTTGCACCGTTTAGGAACGCGGCCATCTTCACAGTGTCTGTCATGACAGACGGGCCGCAGCCTCAGGTCTCGCGCTAAAGCCGTATACCAGCCGTTATGTGCGCCATTAGTGCAGTCGCCCATCTCCTGTAAGCCCGGCTGATCGTTCCTGGCGTCGCGCGACGGTCGCCCGCTTCCGGCGCATGTTGCTGTGCGCTGCTGTGCGCTGCTGTGCGCTGCTGTGCGTTGTGCGGGGCGCGGTCACGTACGCTGTGTCAGCGCCGGCGGCGTGTCGTGCAGGGACGCGACCACGACGCCCACACTCACGACGACCGCCCGCCTGGATGGCCGCACGGTGGTGGTGACGGGCGCCAACACGGGCCTGGGCCGCGAGACGGCGCTCGAGTGCGCCAAACGCGGCGCCAGGGTCTTCATGGCCTGCCGGGACATGACCAAGTGCGAGGAGGTGCGTGCTGGCCGCTGCTGAGCTGGGTGGCGGCTGCTGCGTTGACGGATGTACCGCGTGCCGACACAGTGTGGATGAAGTCAACGACATGCGGGAGATGCATGCGTAATTGATTATATGGAGATTTGGGTAAAGTTTCATGAGATCGCTCACCTTTTTTGAAGAAAACCTGTATTTCCTGTCACCGGGTGCTGGCAGTTCCCACCGATTGCCCTTCATTCTGTATTCATCATCATTCGTGTGTCTGTCGTTCCTGAATCCCTAATGAGCCTCTGACGCGATCTTGCGAACTGGTTGATGCACGTCTATTGTACCGTCCATGTTTGAATTGTGTTTCAGACTCGGAAGTTTATAGTCCTCGAGACCTCTAATAGATATGTGTACTGCAAACACTGCGACCTTGCGTCCCAGGCGTCCGTCCGAAAGTTTGCCGACGTCTTCAATAAAAGTGAGTTACGGGCAGCGGCCGAACTTAGACAGCCATTTTGTGTGCAGGGATGTGTATATGGCATGTGCCGTAGATGCTGTTATGTGACGTTTAAAGACATTTCCATGCATTCTGCAACTATCGCTGTCTGTCTGTCTGGCTGTCTTTGTTTGACCCCGTCTGTCTCTGTCTGTCTTTGTCTGTCTGTCCGTCTATCTGTCTGTCTGTCCGTCTATCTGTCTGTCTGTCCGTCTATCTGTCCGTCTTTCCGTCTATCTGTCTGTCTGTCCGTCTATCTGTCTGTCTGTCCGTCTATCTGTCTGTCTGTCCGTCTATCTGTCTGTCTGTCCGTTCGTACGTCCGGACGTCTGGCTGGCTCTGTCTGTCTCTGTCTGTATGTCTGGCTCTGTCTGCCTGTCTCTGCCTGCCTCTGTCTCGCTCTAGCTCTAGCTCTAGCTCTAGCTCTAGCTCTAGCTCTAGCTCTAGCTCTAGCTCTAGCCCTAGCTCTCGTTCACGCTCACTGATCGCTCTCCTGATCGGCGCTTTTTTCGGCGGCATGTCCGTGTCCTGATGGGCGTCGTGTCCGGCGATGTATCCGTGTCCTCATCGGCGGTGTGTCCGTATCCTGATCGGCGCCATGCCCGTGTCCTGATCGGCACCGTGTTCTGCAGCCGAGCCGCGGCTGGACGTGCTGATCAACAACGCCGGCGTGATGCGCTGTCCCCGCCGGCTCACTGTCGAGGGCATCGAGCTGCAGCTGGGCGTCAACCACATGGGCCACTTCCTGCTCACAGCGCTGCTCCTGGACAAACTCAAGGTAGTAGCCAGGGAGTCGATGGCCATATAGGCATGAGGCCACATTGGCCTGCACCTTCTGGCACGGCCCGCTGCTGTATTGGCGTGAGAAGCTTTCGGTCCCTCTCCGTGTGGAGCCGCTTTGTGCTCACAGCGCTGCCGCTGAACAAACTCTGTGGTTTTTTTCTGTAGGCTGATTAGAGCTCGTCGATGCGCCATCACTGACATGGTGTTGGCGGCTTCAGCGAATGTTGGAGGTCGCAGAGGAATACATGTACGATGCATGATGATCGTCATAGCTCGTTTGTGTGCCGCTTGTCATATAAACTATGTAAAATGTCGCTAATGTCAGCTGGGCATATAGGCGCTCAGATCATATCGTGTTAGCCGGGAATTGTGTATCTGGATCCCGCATGGAAGCGGAGCACGCTGCCGACCGATCTGTTTCGACCCTGGATGAAGTGAAGGCCCGGGCTATCGCGCAGCCGCCTGACCTGCCTCGCGCGGCTGGCCTGCGACTGTGCCGTGTGTGTACGAGGGACGGCGGGCTTCGTATTCCAGAGCAGCGCACCCAGCCGGGTGGTGAACGTGGTGAGCGTGGCGCACCGGCGCGGCGTGCTCGACTTCCGCGACCTCAACAGCGAGAAGGAGTACAGCCCCGTGGACGCCTACAACAACAGCCAGCTGGCCAACATGGTGTTCACGCTGGAGCTGGCCAGGCGGCTGAAAGGTGGGCCGCCGCCGTGACCCGCCCAACAGCAGCGCCTTAGGGCCGGCACTGGTCGCCGCGCAGGCCGGCTGCTGCCTCTTCCACGGCAGGGAATTGTGCTGCGCCTTGCAGATCGAGAGTTTGGCATGGCAATCGCCCACGAGTTCTCTTCTAGCTTCTTCGACTAAGAAAACAGCGATCTAAAGCATACTTTGAAGAATGCATTACTAGGGCTGTTCACCGCGGCGCAGTATCGGCCGTTTTCTATGACATTGTGGCAGTGCACGGTTCCCTGATGCCGCTAGGTCGTTCGTTGTCGGACCCGGCTACAGCGCGCAGCCATCGGTATAGATCGGCGATCAGCGGTCGCGGGGTAGCGTGGCATCGGCAGCTCGGAATTTTGTGCCATGCCACACGTGTGTAGACGCGCGCTGCGCGTGTTCCGCAGGCAGCGGCGTCTCCTGTAACGCCGTCCACCCGGGCCTATCGGCCACCGAGCTCAACCGCCACATGAGCTTCTACAATAGCTGGCTGGCCGCTGTGGTCGTCAAGCCGCTGCAGTGGTTCGCGCTGAAGACGGCGGCGCAGGGCGCGCAGGGCATCGTGTATGCGGCCGCCGAGCCGACCCTCGCAGACATCAGCGGCGAGTACATCAGGTGAGCGGAACCACATCAGTGGAGAGAGAGAGAGGAGAGAAGAGAGAGGAGGAGAATGAGAGAGAGAAGAAGAGACGAGATGAGAGAGAGAGAGAATGAGAGAGTCGAGAGAGAGAGATGAGAGAGAGAGAGAGATGGAGCGGGAAGGAGAGGGAGAGGAGAGGGAAGGGAGAGTTTGAGCGGGAGAGTAACGAGAGCGGAGGGGAGAGGGCGAGGAGAGGGAGAGGGAGAGGGAGAGGGAGAGGGACCGAGAGGGAAGGGAGAGGGAGAGGGGGAGAGGGAGAGGAGAGGGAAGGGCGAGGGAGAGGGATAGTGAGAGGGAGGAGGAGAGGGGAGGTGAGAGGGAGAGGGAGAGGGAGAGGGCGAGGGAGAGGGAGAGGAGATGGACTGAGGAGAGGTGAGAGGAGAGGTAGAGGGGAGGGCGAGGAGAGGGAGAGAGGCGAGGGAGAGGGCGGGGGAGGGAGAGGGGAGAGGGAGAGGAGAGGGAGAGAGTAGCGAGAGCGAGGGGGTGGGGGGGGCATCACGCTGAGCGATACAAGAGCGCCGGTGGAACGAACACCGAGTAAGAGGTATGAACAACTGTGTATTGGTGAGGGCGTCAGGCGAGTGGAACACGGGGCCGGTATAGAGAACACCGAGGAGGCAGCACGAGCTCCTGTGCATCGATGAGAGCGCCAGGTGAGTGGAACCCAGCGCCAGCAGCGAGTGTCTCAGGTGAGTGGTGCACAACACGAGCGGGAAGGACACCATGCGAGCGGTTCACAAAGCCAGCGTGAGCACACTGCACGTGGTGAACGGCATACGGCACCGGCGGGTGGCACACATCGGGGGGGAGGGTCTCTTGGTGGGTTCATCAGGCGACTATTTCACGCGTAAGTCAATGTGCAGCTTTGGCAACGGCGAAAAGTAGGCGTATGCACTTGAGGCGATGTTAGGTTTGTCTGAAAGTAGCATGCCTGATGCGCCGCACGATTTATTTACCTTCAAGTGATGCAGTTTCGGTCTCGGGCTGCGCAGCGCGCCGGGACCGCCCGCGGTGACCGGGCGCGGAGCCGGCGTCGGCGTCCTGACGGCCTCTGGTTGCAGCGAGTGCGAGGGCACGGCCGTGGCGGAGGAGGCGCTGAACGAGCGGCTCGGGGCCCGGCTGTGGGCCACCAGCGCCCGCTGGACGGGACTGGATGCCGACCTGAGCCCGGCCCGCGGCTCAGAGGCCGGCGCCGCTCGGACGACAGCGGCGGACGCGGCGGCGGCGGACAGCGAGCCGCGGACAGGGGCGGCGGCGGCGGGCGGCGAGCCGCGGACAGGGTCGGCAGCGGCGAACGGTGAGCCGCAGACAGGGACGGCGGCGGCGGGCGGCGAGCCGCGGACAGGGACGACGGCGGACGGTAACGAGTCGCCGGCGTCCGGCGTCATGAGCAGTCGCCTGGCCACGTCTCAGGGCCTGGAGCCCGTCCGGCCTGATCTGCGCGCGTAGTCGCCGTCCGGTGCGGCGGGTTCGCGCGCCGAGATAGCGCCGTGTGCGTGTGTCGCAGAATGACGTGTTACCTGATCTTCAGGACTACCGTTGCTATTTCCCTTGTGCGGAATCAGCGGTGTTTGTTTTCGAAGTGTTATGCAATGTTAGTAACGCTGAAATATATACCATGTCTGTCAGCCTGCGTTTAAAAATCGTTGGTCATTAGAGGCGTCATCAGCGTCATCTGGCAGTGTTGAGCCGCGCTCGCCTCCGCCACTGCGGGGCAACCAACACGCGGCAATGGCGGTGGCAACCGAGCGTGCACCACGCCGCCGGGCATGACTTAACTGCGGCCGACTCTGACCCTGGTGCTGGGCAGCAGCCGGCTGCTGGCATAACAGGTCACGGCGTGTGAAAAGGCGGGCCTCCCGGCGGGCGTGCTCTCAGGCCTTCATTCCAGAGGATTTTGGCCGGTGTTGCTCGACGTTTTTGAGATAGGCCGGAAACAGTGCACCGGCCGGAGCCGCCGGCTGAAGTGACGGTGCGCTAGCGCTGGTGGCGAGGATTGACGCCCTGGCGGGGAATCGGCCAGCGGCGGGGAGTCAGCTGGCGGTGGGGATTGACGCCCTGGCGGGGAGTCAGCTGGCGGTGGGGATTGACGCCCTGGCAGGAAATCGGCTGGTGGCGGGGATTGATGCCCTGGCGGGGAATCTGCTGGCGGCGGGGATTGACGCCCTATATATAATATATATATATATATATATATATATATATATATATATATATATATATATAAATCATGGGTGTGTGGGTGGGTGTGGTTACACTGGTCGTTAGAAATACAGTAGCTTTGTTGTTTGATATCTTTCGGGATATACTTTGAGTCTTGCGTATTAAGTGCTTGCTTTCCCGGCGGGTGTGCTTTTTAGCGCTATTCACCGCAGCAAAATGAAACAGAACTGGAATTATGTATCAAGATGCCTTGAAATTGTAATCCTACGCAAGGATAGACATTGGTCCTGACTCAAAATATTTTGTTGGCGGAGATCAGCAGCAAGATCTCTAGGCATTGAGAACAAGATCAGGGGAGGGGGAAACAAAACCGCTTCGCCCCGTCCTCGCCGTGCCGCCCGGGATCCAAGGTAGAGCGAGGATGCAGTGACACGAAAAGCTGACAACTCTGCTGTTAACGTAATCTTGAACAAATGAGACTACTGTCAAACAATGAAAACCCTTCTGATCGGCCGAATCAGTTCCTTCCAATGGTGCGCAATTCTACGGGTGAACGAAAAAAGGGGCCAACGACCTGACTAGCGCAGCCATTATGCATACTGTCGGTGATAAGCTGTCAAAGATAACAGGTGACTGCCGCTTGGCATTTCCACAGGAGCCCAAAAACGCAAACTAGGTTGTACCTTATGGTCACAATTTCACAGATTCCCATCCCCACCCATCACCTAGCCAAGTATTTGAACAAAGTATTTTCGCCTTTTGTACCCTAGACCTTCTCATTGCGCTTGTCGACTGAATTAATGGATATTTTGGAGACAAAATGTGGTTTACTGACAGTGGCTTACTGACTTACCGACTTTTACTGACTTCATAAATTCAGAAGGTTTGTCCGAATCTTATCTGGGCTGCACAGAAATATTAAGGACCCCATGAATGTAGATCGAAATTGGTCAACAATTTGTATTAGCGCGGCCGCGCCATGTTTGTCTGGAGATGTTCAACGTTCAGTCAGAAATGAGAAGTGATGTAAATTATGTAACGTAGTTTTGAGCATGCGCGCTCGTAGATCTCAACAAAATCCTCGACGCCAGGCGTTGCAGTCTCTATGGGCGGCGCGACGTGGGCACCGTGGTTAACACCGAGTTGTGACCAACGGGTAGGCGAAAATGGCAACCAATTTGAAAGAAGTACGTTTCAACACTTTAGGGCTTAAATCATACATTTCGCAAGCAGCCGGGTGTACATTTCACCTGTACGATTTTTAAATTAATGCATTAAATGGACTGGCCTTTGCAGCACCACAAAATCTGGTGGTAGAACTGCATAAATACAGAGAGAATATTTATTTTTTTGTGTTTCTGCAGCTATTCAGAGGATAGCCTCAGAGTTGTAAGGAAGATACGCCCAGCCTAACTTTTCAACGATATGACTTAATTTTCTACGACATTCGGAAATATTATTCCATGACAGTCGTCCCCGCGCGCGCAGCGCCCGCCGCCCGGTGTTACTGACAGTGGCCAACACCGTTCAGCTTCACGGAAACTGCAACTCAGGCTATGGCCATCCTCGCGATGGGCCCGTCCTGATCAGAGACGGGCCTTTTTAAGTCTACAATGGGCCTTTTTCAGACCGGAAAACGGCCCTTCCTGTGCCTGAAGCTGCTACAAGGACTCCTGTCTCGAATTTGATTTGTTCCGCACCGGAGATCGGCTCTCTGAGATGGGGCCCTTAGTGGACACGAAACGATTCTCTTCTGAGATTAAAATGGGCCCTTTCCGGACTAGACAAGGACCTTCTATGCCTGCTCTGGTAATATAGTATGCAAGCACCACCATGTACCCGAGGGCCCCTTCTCGGCCACCTGACGTTATGGGGAGGGAGCAAAAAGGTACTTTTGCTCCGCCTCAAAAGATGGGGAGGGGCAGTTTGCCCCTGCGCCCCCCCCCCCCCTCCCCGCCCCCGGATGCTCCGCCACTAGCCTGACCATGTAATTAGAGCCGTGTTGGGTCTGCGCCACAAAAGCTCCTTTCCGCTCCCAGACGGCATCCTTTTCTAACAAGTAGTGGGGCAGTGTTGGTTAATGGTGATGCGAAACGACGAATATGGAAAGGGGAACCCTCTACTGCCGCTACGCCGATGACATCCTTGCAGGCGTAAATGGATATCAGCACTTGCTACAGCTTAAAAACCAGCTAGAGCAAGCCTCAGCGCTAGCATTTACTACCGAACAAAGCGTAGATGACAGCATCACAGCTTTACTGACGGGCCTTTGAATACCAGCTGCGGGCATTCGACGGTCACTGCTTATCGTAAGCTAACGGACTTGGGCAGATACTTGAAACGCTCTGATGCAATGATGCAAAAATGGTGCCTTATAAGGCTATGTGAACGGTGCGATAAGCCATTATTCATGATAGAAACTTACGCACCTAAGAGTTGTAGAGAATGAAACAAATGATAGCCGACAATTATCCTGTTCAATCCATTGACAATCACCTACGCGACGCAATCAGCAAGCATGTCCAAGCTCTTATAGCCACCATTCCAGACGTTCGAGTCCACACTGTACTGTAAGAATGGCATGTCGCAAGCCTACAAGGCCGATGAAAAGGTCGTATGATCAATCGTCGGAAGACACTGTAAGCCAGCATCCCCGGGGAACCAGCTGAGGCTAATTATATTTTACCGTAATCCTACGACACGTTTCTCATTCGTTACAAACAGCCCGACTCGTGGCACATCTCTACTGAAACAATCCAATACAATAAGCAGTTACAAGTGCCCTCTCGGAAACTGTGCGTTCCGCCTGTACCGCCACTACATTGTATTTACGAACACCTCACTTGGTAGATGCATCACAATGCACATCTAGAACGGCGGCCCAAAAACACATACGGAATCCAGCCATGACCAGCGGCTGACCAGACAAATGGTACGATAACAACACTATCATTGACAGATACTACGATGTGAGGCGGATATGTATGTTCGAGGCGCATGTGTGATACGTGAGCGACATGGACCCATATATCGACAGACAAAACGAAACAGCGGGAAGCGATTTGTTTGAAATAAGTACTGTTTACTGTTACTGTTTGAAATACTGTTTGAAATCAGCTTTCATGAGTCTTTGCTGTACTGTAGTTCCCTGATGATGCGTAGCACGTCTCGCGTGTTCGTGAGAAAAGTGAAGAGAAGTCTGCCGACGTTTTGCAAAGTGTCTTAAAACTACGGCTGGGCAAATTAACCTATCCGTTAATTTTATCAATTAGCTGCAAGCCATGGTGGGTGTTACCCGACATCATTGCCTGTGATCATTGTGATTGTAAATTATGCGTCTTATGTCTTGAGAATGTCAGAAAATTGGCGAAATGTCGACGAATGGTATGGAATGTGGTTCCCTTGGACTGCTCTTGCAAATACTTTTGTTACTGTTCTTAACAATTAAAGCCCAGAATGCAAGCACGCAATACGCAAGATTGAAAGTGCATCTCAAAAGATAGCAAACAGCGAGGCCGCGGTTATTTCCAACGACCAATGTTTATGAAACATCTGCTTCCGAAATACAAATATATATATATATATATATATATATGTATATATAAAATAATTCCTGAACGGAATACAAATATATATGTATATATGAGGAAGCTATATGTTAGACGTATGTGTCCATCCCCCTCCCCTTCTGTAATGACGCGGGGTTCGATGCCACTGTTACGGGTACTCAATTTGGTTAAATTGTTGAGGCCGTCCGTAGTGTTAAAGAAACGCCTTCGTGGCTCAGAGTCCCTGCTTCCGCAAAAGTTCAGCGGGTTATACATGCACATAAACGGCGAATATGTTTATTTTGATCCGGCGTTGCAATCGTTGCAGGTTTAGTTATGGTGCACAACGAAGTTTACTGGACAACGTGTCAACACAAAGACACGCGAAGCCGCGGCTAAGGTAACGGTCATCGGTTTCTTTCAGCGGCGTTGGCTATACAAGCAGGTCCGACATCCCTTAAAGCTTTGACGCGCTTCGTGTTAATGCGCGGTAAGGTGCGTAGCTCTTCGGTGTCGTGCCCGCGCCCTGCCGCGCGGACAAGCCCGAATGTCGCCGGTTCGCGGCGCTCTCTTGCAGGATAAGGACAACTTTCATTGCATACAAAGCTCGTAAATGACATCAGGTACAACATCAATATCGCAAAGTGCGATGCGCAGTGCACATGCCACACTTGCTGGCTCGTAAGACTTGTTTCCGGTGGGCCCACACGTGAACGCAGGCAACGCACAAGCCACGCCAGCGCATTCACAGGAGGGCTCGGCCGACAATGTCCTTAAATCATGTCCAAATCATATTCTACCATGTAACTTCTTACAAATGTACTCCCCATCGGTCCCATCGACACCTGTGGATCATATTGCGGCCACTTGGAGACGAGCTCCCTCCCCTCTGGTAGCCGCTCGCTGGATAAAGGACTATCCATGGCCCATGTAATGCACGCTTCGAACTGTGTCTTTGGCCCCAACCCCATGTGACACGCTAACGCTTGACCTGCCCCTCCACAACAACACATGAAATTTGCTTATGCTCCCCTTCGAACTGCTTCGTTGTTAGTACACACCAACGTGTCAGGTGTGCATTTGGTGAGCGCATTTGTACAGTTTTGCCTTGCGTTTGTCATGACTGTAATGCTCGTCTTTCCACAGTCTGTTCTGAGCTGTGCCGTTCTATGTGCAGCAGGATGCCAATCGGAAACAAAGAAATTGTTTCTGAAAACCAGCGTCTGTGAAATCTTTCGTGATGACCGAGGTTGGCTTTGCAGGTGGCGGCAACTGAGAAATTGATTGTGCAGCCTAATCACTTTTTGAGCTTTTACCCTGGTGCCGGCTTTGACACCGACGCTGTTAATGTGATGGCTGCCTGTCCTGAGAGAAAACAGATGTTTTTTCTTCGGAAATGGTGTGAATTTAACTGAGGTGAAAGGAGTGCTACGCCTTAGTGATTTTCAGGTAAATAAGCTTTCCAATGCAAATACCATCGCCAGATGATCAGTCCTGTGGAAAGGGTGCAGTAAAACTCGTCCAAAATGACCAACACGGCACTAAAACTGACAGAGTAAAACATAAATTAAAACAATATCTATGTCATTACAAGTGATGGAGCGAAATGTAAGTTAGATGACCCGCCGTTGGTGTTACGATGGATGGCGGCATCAGCTGAGTTAAACCTGCTGTAATCTGCAGGTAATAAAAAGCTCCCTACATATCCTGCATAAAAGCACATTTGCCGCCGTATGGACCAACTCAACGGGTCAGCCCTAATGAACAAAATGGTGTGGACCATCCTTCTGTAGGCGTTACAAAGAACGCATCACTTCCGATTGTTGGTGCACATCGACCAATGTCTCAAGTCCTGTTGCAACACATCGCGTTTGAAATAAGCAAGCATGATAGTCGCATGAACATCGCAAATTATCGCAATCATCAAGCATTGCGTGCGTCCCGGAGTGTGCGAAGATTAAATTGGGAGTGATTAATTTGTTTGCGCCGTTTGCTCGTTTCTGTGGTGTTCCTGTCGCCAAAGCATTTGTTCCGCCAATATCAGGCCATTATGCCCGCATTGAACGGGTGGCGATGGTCTCAGCGTAATCATGTTAAGCAGGGCTTAAGTTGTTTTGCACCCTGAACGCGCCGCCGAGTTAGTGCCAGTCTGTTATGAGGGAGTAAAATACCTCTACCTCGTTCACCAGGTGGGATCGCGGAGGGATCTTCCGTGCGTTCTACAACGCTGCCGTGCGGTCGACCTGCGCCAAATTCGCCTCCAACCAATGTGACTCGGCTGATCGGTATGACGAGATCCTTGGGTATGACGGCATAGCCGACGAACCACCAGTCCGTCATCTCGTCCCCCGGGGCCCCCCCAGGCCATATATATATATATATATATATATATATATATATATATATATATATATATATATATATATATATATATATATATATATATATATATATGTGTGTGTGTGTGTGTGTGTGTGTGTGTGTGTGTGTGTGTGTGTGTGTGTGTGTGTGTGTGTGTGTGTGTGTGTGTGTGTGTGTGTGTGTGTGTGTGTGTGTGTGTGTGTGTGTGTGTGTGTGTGTGTGTGTGTGTGTTGTGTGTGTGTGTGTGTGTGTGTGTGTGTGTGTGTGTGTGTGTGTGTGTGTGTTGTGTGTGTGTGTGTGTGTGTGTGTGTGTGTGTGTGTGTGTGTGTGTGTGTGTGTGTGTATAGATATACACATATATTGAATATATATACATATACATGCATAATGCGCGAAATTGACCTTCCGGCGGCATTCAATTTATAACGATCTAAGCAACTCTCGCCAGTCGGTGTCTAAGTTGAGGTGCAAGCTTATTCGGCACGTGCGAGGTCGCCGTACCTTCCTGGGGATATGTTCACTGAAGTCGGCACACTTCCGCAAGACGACCCATAATGTTGTTATGAAGACACCTCTCCGTGGTTCTTCTTCCGCTTATAGCCTTATTAACGGCGGGAGATAGAAGGACGAGGCATGGTAGCATGCACTGCAATTAAACGAAAGTGATCTGTCGCTCCAACCTGCCACGGAACAGAGTGACTTACGGAACTTGGTGACCTCCTGATCCCATAACAGGACGCACTGGTGACTTGCTGGTTCCATAACGGGACGTACTGGCTCGTCGCGTCTCGCCCTTACTTGTTATGCGATGTACGGATGACTTCTAAATGCTTGTGAAATGTATTGCATATTATTACATTTATTACTCCCCCCCCCCCTCCAAGCGACGACTCAAGAGGTCAATTCAAGCTATAAATTTCGGGATATTGGGCTAGTTAGCAATGATATCAGCCGGGGTAGTACGGAGGCACGCACTCGCGGCTGTGCAAATTCTAGAGCATCTGAAACAGTTGTCCGCCAGGTGTGGTGATAGCGTCGACTTGATCAGGTTCAACTGGCAATTTGTCCGCTGCGATGTTTTTGACTTGAAAAGCGGTCCGCAGTCGAAGCAAATCGCGTTTGCGGTTAGATAACATTGCTCCTAGATTTTACACATCTACCCCCACAAGTTTTGCAAAGTGACGCGACCGCCGCAGTAGGCACCACAGCGGGTCAGGCTGGGATGGTGGTCACTTCAGTGGCAACAGTGGCGTGCAGTTTCTTCAGCCCCACCTCCGCGACGAAGGCCGTCAGCGACAGCAGCAGACCGATGACGTACAGGCCGAGTGGGGCCTGCAGATGAGAGATGTTCAGAGGCTGCTGTCGGGTGCTGCTCTCACGAGCAGCCTTGCGGCGCCCCTGCTGCGTGCGCACGCTCTCCAGAACGTCTTTAAAGTACTTGTCCACCAGGCCTGCCTCTATGGTCCTGCGGATGAGCAGGTTGAACTTGGAGGTGAGCGGCGAGTACTTCGGCAGGCCCAGTGCCACGCTGAACGGGATGTAGCATTCGCGCGACACGTGCATCAGCTCCTCACCCATCGCGTCTGTGAAGTTGGTGGCCACCAGGTACTGCAGCGACTGCTTGGAGTTGATGAAGGCGAAGTTCGTGTCGCGCGCGCGCCGGATGCCCTCTTGGAAGCTGCCGACGAAGCGAATGTCGTCGGCCAGGCGACGGGCGATCGGGTCTGGCGAGTTCTGGAACCAGCTCTCCCACTCCGCGGCGCGGCGCACGCCCCACTCCAGGCCGCTGGCCAGCAGCTGGCGGGACGTGTCCAGCGGCGTGGGTGGCGCAGGCACCATCAAGTACGCAATCAGGTTGCCGCGGTACGCCGACGATATCACCACCGAGAACAGGAAGAAGAGGCCGAGGAAGAGCTGGGCGGCCAGCTGGCGCGGCAGTCTGTGCATGGCCTCCTGAATCAGCACGCCGAACGCATAGAACGAGGAGTAGGTGAAGCTGCGGAACGGGTTGTGGGCGCCGTCGCCGCCGTGCGCCAGGCCCCAGAGCACGGGCACGACGAGAGCGAACGAGCCGAGTGTCCACAGCCAGGTGCGCCAGGTGAGCGGCCGCACCAGCGACAGGTAGCGTGGCGGCGGTGGTGGCACGGCCGCGATGTAGCAGGCGTAGTCGGTCATGTACGGCGTCGTCATGTCGATGGCCTCCAGTTTGGACTCCGAGATGAAGAGGTTGGCCATGCCGACGTCGGCGCGACCGTAGTGCAGGTCGCCGACCAGCCCGCTCCATGTGCCGTCCTCCTCGTGGCGTCCCCACAGGCCGCCGTCTGTCGGCCGCGTAAACTCGGGCACGTAGTTGATGACGGTGCCGAACGTCTGGACCAGCACCGTCTCCAGGCCGCCGTGCCGCCAGCTACCGTCCGGCCTCCGCTCGAACACATTCTTGGGCGGGTAGTGAAAGGTGACGGCGCGCAACTTGCGACCGCCCAGGTCGGATAACTTGTCCGGAAACAGCTCGGCGGCCGGCAGCAGCTGTGACGCGGCGAAGCGCGCCACCACGCCGGCCCACACGCCCACCTCGCCGGCGAAGAAACGGTGCGAGAGCAGCGGCACGACGTTCCTAGGCGCGCTGGGGTCGGCGGCCGCCACTACCAGGTGCTGCAGTTGGCTGCGCGGCGGCCGGCGCAGCTCCGTCGCCACCCTCGTAACGTTCTCGCCGCTCAGCTCGACGAAGCGAGCGTCGCGGCTGAACGTGTCGCGGCCGAACTCCAGGAAGCGAGTGCACGTGCTGAGCCGGTCGCAGGCCAACACCAGCAGCAGGCAGTCGCGTCGCACGCCGGCCACGGCGGCCAGCGCGTGCGGCTCGGTCACGTCCAGCAGCACGAGCGGCGCCGGCCAGCGGGTGGCGCGCACCAGGGCCGCCGACAAGAAGGCGGCGTCGGAGGCCAGCACGACCCCACACGGCCGAGACCCGTCGGCCAGCAGCGTCAGCAGCTCGGCCAGCGAGGCGGGCGCGGCGGCCAGCAGCCGGCCGCCCAGCAGCAGCACGGCCAGCACTCGGCGCAGCATTGTGCCCCGACCGCCGCCGGCTGGCGCCGGCGCGCCATCTTATAGGTGGCGGCAGGCGGCGCCACCGTCGGCCAGGCTGCAGGCCGACGGAGGGGCGCCGAAGACCACCAATTATCGGGCTGTTTAATACAGATGGCGGCGACGTTGCGTTGACATTCGACGGCGGGCACATTCCACGCGATGGTTTGATTTCTCGCGAGTCGCTGATAATCACGCATTCATACAGCTATGTATATTGCGATGCGTTCAGTCTTGGAGAATGTCATCAACCAGCCGAGGCTCCCCGCGTCATCAATAATCGATGCCCAGCAGCATATGAAGCCATCCAACCATCAGACAGATCACATTTCTAGCACTATGGAAAGCGTTAGTGCCTTGTGCATGCTTCAAGGGATCATCGCATGACATTAAAGCGTCCTTGATGTTGGCGCGATGTCGAAATGGAGCATGTTTACGACAATCAAGCAGAACGTTTGGCCACGAAACTATTGGGGCTTTTCACGTACCACTGGCGGCGCAAGTTACAACCGTCTTCTTGACAGCTGGCGGCTGTAATTGGTGTGATCTGTTGATCCTGTAACAGGTGTTTCAGTTGTTTGCGCCGATGGGCTCACGCTACGCGAATGATGGTTGGGGAGGAGGGAGGGAGCGAGGGAGGGCAAATCGTTTGGAGCGTCGATGCTTGTTTTAATTGCAAATTACCTCCACTAATTCTCAGCCCCATTAGGCTTATTTGAACTCAACCGGCGAGGCAAATCATAAATATTATCCATGAACACCGAAATTCACCTCCCATCGTAGAAGGGCGATGTGTAAGGAGAAGCAATCGCAAACAAGTACTCTGTTTTGCAACGTACCGGAAACAACTTACTGTTTGTGATACCATCTGAACCAGGGAAAAAGTGATCGGAAGCGGAAAGGCGGTTCGGCCTACTTAGCTCCAACTTTAGGAAGACTTGGGCGCATTATTCCTACCGTAGCACTGCAACTTGACTAATGCTGAAAATAGGAGTGGCCTTTCTCGGCCGGTCCAGAGGGTTCGTTTTTGTGAGACTGGCTGATTGGCTTACTATGAGCGATGAATGCCGCAGCGAAAAACCCCAAACTCTTTGGCAGTATTCAAATGAAGTGCTTGAACAGAAGAAATGCGAGTGGATGTTATGCACGCAGTTTTTGCAAGAGGTCGACTTTAAAGGCGCTGACCGGTTAACACACTCTCCGGTGGAGTTCAAATTGCCCACCACCCCACACCACCCCGAAGGTTTTTCCGAAATGGTTTCCGAAAGACGTGGCGAAGCCGCGCCAAATTTTGCATAGCTGTAGACAATTGAATAACAGATGGTTTGGCATGCACAACATTAATGCACCTGGTAAGGCCGCTGACCTATGGTAGGTCAAAATGATGGCATGGTTTCAGCGAAGCTAATTTCCAGGGACTCGTTCAATCTGAAGCAACAACGGAATGTTTGACGAAGTCATACATCTCTGAGGTACTTTCTTAGGCAACATAGCAGTTAAATGAACAAATTAAATTAACCTAGTGTCAGATATGACAGTCACACCAAGGTCAAAACCAGCCCCTTTTATAACTCTAGGGCTTACTGGATGGGGTAGTTTCTGGTGTTCATTTCGAGTTTACTGATAATAGGAGCCGCATTACATATCTTCCATGGACTTCTTAAAGGTCAGAATAGATCACTGACCTAAAAGGACCCAGTTCAATATTGATTTCTAGGAACGCACTGCCTAGCGTGATATTTGCCGGTTATGCAACCGCAAAACTCAAAGCAGTCTTGTATGATTTTGGTCACCATGACCTTCAAAATGTCAAACAAGGTCACTGACCTTAAATGAGCATGCGACCATTTGCTTTGAACAGTTATCTAGGTGCTGGGGGCACATTGAGGATCAGCCCGGAACTTGACCTCGTTTGACCTTATTTAACCCGAAGGCGAGAACCTAAGAACCTCAAACTTGGTTCTGAGTGATTTCACGTATGGATCAACACATCCTGTGAGTTTAGTGTCTCTAGCTCTCTTAGCTCCTGAGATCTCAGGAGGCCAAATTGACCCCCACCCGAGCGAAGAGTATCCAACCGGCCACCCTGGCACGTGTTAAGGGGACCGCACGCCTTTTCCCCATACATGAGTTTGTTCCTGAAACAAGATCAAGGTAGTGGCAGTCAAACGGCAACAGGATTTTTTCGGAAGCATGACTGTGTCCACAGAAGCAACATCGCAAGGTGGCGGCGATACCACCGCATATTTTCTGAAGAAGAAACCGAAGAAAGGGGACCGATGCAGTCCCCTTCGTCTTTGAGAATGTCAATACAGGTGGCTGGTTTATGGCGTCTGTCCTGAAAAACAGCTTTGCTCACTATTGATTTACCATCAAGCTATAATGTTATAATCAAGGGACTTTCTAAAATCGTTCGGGAGGGCGGAGTCGAAACAACTTACCTAATCTGCCCCGAGATCCGGATTCCCCTTAGACTCGGTCAGTTCGATGGACGTTCACGATATAAATGCACTTTTTGCGATTCTGTGTTTATCACAACACCCAAAAGAAGATGGCTTTGTGCAGAATGACCCAACTTGTAATGTGCAGATCAGAGGCGATATAGAATATTTCGCGTACTCTGGAGGGACTGCCTGCATCTAAGTATGAAATTAGGTTTGCGGGACCTTCTTAACAAACATTCTGATAACTGGAAGAGCAGAGGTCAATAGCTGTGACAGGGCGGATCACTGGAGGGAGCTCCTTTAAAAGAAATAATGCGACCTGTAGGGGGCTTCGTCTTCAAAAGAAAGAGCTTAACGAAAGTGTAACACGGGAGGAATTGTTAGGTTTGAACAACGTAGCATTACGCTAAGGTGTGGTCGCAAATTGTCTTAAAATCTGCAACAAAAAAACAAGCTGAGACCCAAAGCCGGATGCCGTTGGCTACCACTCGTGGTCAGGAACACGCCGTCATTCGTTTCGCATTTATAGCTGAATAAGGGGTTAAACGTACCTTACCTTTTGTGACGTTACGTTTAACGCAGCGTGACCAGTGCACGGGTTTTGCTCACCGTGAGCAAAGCGTGACCAGGGGAAATAGCCAAAAACGCGCAACATAATTCATGGATGACCTCTGAGTTGGGATTTGATGTTCGCAAGAAGGACCCTGAACTACTGGTTTCGCGGCATCAGGTTGAAAATTTTTACATCGAGGATAGTTCATGCTGTACCAGGAGGTACTGGTAAGCGAAGTTGTCAGATCATGGCTGGTTAAATTAAGAAAACGGGACGTTTCAAAGCAGTGATTATGGTCATATTTATTTTCTTAATCGATCAGCCAATCATTCCCCTGTTCTTCACTTCACCTCTTTCCACTTATAGATGGAGCCGACGCAGCACATGTAGATTTCATCCCTAGGCACTTTTGGTGTACAACCAGGTAGAAGCAATACAACAAAACTGCATGTTGAACACGCGTCCGATGGCATCATAGTGTGCTATAATGCAGCACACGGTATAATCGCTAAGGAAACGCTATATATAAAAGAGGCAGAAAGCTGTGAATATATCCTGATCCCCCGCCGCGTGAGCTTAGTCTCGTTAAAGATATATTCTTGTCTACGAAACGCCTCCCCAAACGCCGACTGAGATGAGCCCAGGGCCCTCTATAACGGATCTGCCGGCTGCGCTGACGTTATTGATACAACACTACATCACTTCGGCAAAGAAGTCGCATAAGAAGTTCAAACAAAATAGTGTGTGTCGCCGTGAAGCTCCCGTTTTTAGGCGACAAGCTGTACCAGCAGGGGTATGCCCCCGTGCGATGGAGCGGTTTGGATGCTCTCAGGGCAACGTCGACTAGCGGCCCCAGCTTAACATCCCAGCTAGTTCGGCTATCCCTGCAGACCCCAGCGCGTCCAGCTGGAGCCAGTATTTGCTGCGCATGCGCTCATTGAGTAAAAGGCAAGCACAAACGGAAAATACACCTGCCAGGCCTCTTGCAATCCCTGCCCGGGTATGCATACCGATCACGTTGGGTACCTAAGCAGAAACGAGATTTGCTCTTCAATTGGTGATGAAGCCATGTGGTTCTTATGAACTGTTGGGTAACATCATTGATAAAGCAAGTAACAATTTCATTTTATAATTACTAAAAACTGCCGAAATTCCGATATTAATAATTATCAAGCCGGCATGTCGTATGAATATAGAGGTAGTGAGGTAGCCCTAATAGCGTTCTGACTGATTTGCAGCGGAAATAAAAGCATTGGACCGCATTTGATTTCAGGAAGGAAACTCGTACAATCCCTTTAATTGGGTCCAGCATAGTCTCGGATGTCCACATAGTAAGACTATTATTTGGTTACTCTTGGAAAACGCTATTGCGGCTGGACTACCGGACGTTAGCCCAATTGCTATTTTATGACGTCAGCAGCCGAATCCAATTAGCGACCGTTCATCAAGAATGACCTCTTCGCGACGTGACTAGT